CTGCCCCCCTCTTGCCACCCCATTAATATTTTTCTAGATCCGCCCCTGTATAGAAGTTTCTTTATGTAATTAATCAATTTCTTGTGCCAAAATCCTCTTTTTCGATCATTATTTGACATTTTCCTTATTAAATTTAATAGTCTTCTAACTTTAAATGTAAAAAATTCCCACCTGCTGCAGTAAGGTCCACTGATGTATCAAACCTGATTTCTAGAATTAACTCTGATCAGGTTGCAGTCGATCTTCCTCTTGTTTTTATTTGTCTCTGATTTAAGATGATCGATCAGCAATCAGTTAATGGAGCATTTCAGATTAAAACCTCTGAAATATCAATCTGAGGCATTGAAGCTGCAGATCGATTATATCTATCAATGAGTGGTTGTCATAGAAACCAAGCAGGGCTCCATTATGACGGTTATTGGTTTAATGGACATCTGTCCAGCCAAACATCAGGCGCCATATTAAACTCTCCAACTAAAACAAAGTTAGTATCTAAATGTTTTTGTACTCTGCAATAACATTAGATATGTCAGACAACAAAAGCTTATTCTGAGTGGGATTGTTATAAACATTCACCAGGACAATAACATCCTTCTGAATCCAGCCAACCAAAGACCAAACAATCTGGCCCAGCAGATCGTTGCTCCACCTGCAGCTCTGCTGGAGCCACAGGACTCCGTCTGTCCCCTGGTTGGTCCAGAAGAACCGTCTGAAGGGCAGACTGGGTTTCCTGTAAAAAACACGAACAAGAAAAATGGCTTTTCGTTTTCCATCGTCTTTAGGAGCCTTCGGTTGAGAGAAATGAAAGATAATTAATTGGTTTTCAGAGAAAACATTAGCTGGAACCTCACAGCAACAAGAAACAGTTCTGAGTAAATTAAAAATTACGAACGAAAGAAAAAGTTTTCTTATGTTGAAAACTAATAAATTATTCCTCTTTTGAAAATGATCCCATAGATCTGAAGTCTGTTTACTACAAACAGACTTCAGATCTGGATGAGGTGCCATTTCTGTAACCATGAGGAGGAGCTTTCCTATTGGCTGATGTGTGACCGTCTCCTGCTTTCCTATTAGCTGATGTGAGGCCACATGGCCGCCTGGCAGTGAGATCCTCCTTCCTTAGATCCTCGGCTAATTTAACTCCAGCATCTTGACAGAATTTCGACTCTTCTTTTTCCAAAACGCGTCCCAGAGGCGCCGTCTGGAGAACTGGATGATGATGTTTTCTTCTCCATCGGTTCCCCAGGCGGTGCGCCATGTCTTCCGTGTCCTTTGTGTCCTACTGGTTCCTACTGGTTCCTACTGGTTCTACTGGTAGCTACTGGTTCCTTTACTCTCTTGCTCTCGATGAAGGCGGATGCTTTTTCCCTCTGCTCCCTCCCTGCCCATGTCTGCCCTGCTTGCTCTGTTTTTGTCCTGTCTTTTTCTATATTTTTGGAGCCTTTCTTTGCACATCCTTCAAATCTACAAATTATGGATCTGGTCAACCGATCTCTCAATGCAATTGATCAAATTTTCTTGACGAGAAGTCTGGGCACAGGAGAGCCCTCTTGTCCTGCAGGGGCAACCCGGCGGGATTCACCTGGATTTATTATAACAGGATTTCTGCTGTTTGGAGCTTGTGGATTCCTGGATTATCGACAAATTTGTGACGGACTTGGCCGAACTAGCGAACACTCAGACTGTTGGTGTGGACAGAGACGAGGACTCTAAAACTCACTAACAGGATGGAATCGATCTTGGAGAAGTTGGTAGTTTTGGCTCAGTGGAACGGCCAAACTAATTTGGATGATTGGGAACTGAGATGTATCAGAGAGACTTTAGGGAAGATTGAAATTTATAATCTTCCCGACCTAAGATGTTCTGTTTCTGAATTGGCTTTCCCCGTGTGGCCTTGGAAGGGCTGCATATTTCATAAGATATGCAAACATAACGCTACTTCCCTCCTCACCCCATCCTGTATACATGCAGCTGTGGAGATGAGCGCTCCCAAGGACATTCCTGGATAACATCTTATTGGACTTCTGCTGTGAGGCTGAGCAACGAGGTTTCATGGCCCTTTGACGTCACCGCCTTCACTCATGTCTTTGTTTTGCCCTTTGTTTTGTCTGAATGTTGCCATTTGCCCTAATGTGTCCTTTCCTCTTTTTCCTTTGGTTTGTTATTTTGTTTGTATTTCTTTTTTACTCATGTAAAGCACTTTGAATGGCCTTGTTGCTGAAAATGTGCTATATAAATAAAATTACCTTACCTTACTGGTGGGTCCTGGTGGCTACTGGTTCCTACTGGTTCTTACTGGTGGAGTGGGCTGTCTCCACACAGCGGTCAAGGTTTCATCGGTTTTCTAGAAGCTGATCAGACACATTAAACCAGAAGAAGAGAAACTCCAGTTGAACTAAAAACCTGAAACTAAAATTATCCATAATCTCAGGAGTCAAACTTTGCACCAGATTAAGATTAAAAATATAATAAAGAATAAACCAGCCCTTCAAACCTCCTGGTGGCTCCTCCCCCTCATTAACTCATTAATCTACAGGAGCCAATCAAATCCTTGATGTTTTGCTGACAGCCTGAAGGCTCAGCTTCATCACCTCCTCCTCCTCCTCGCTGTGCCTGTCATGGCCGCCGTAAGCCTCTAATGGCTGTTTATCAGTTAATGGCGGCTCTGACCTTAATGGTTCTTTAATCTGCTGCTGCTTTTCATTTCATCACTCTGATGGTTCAGCAGAACAAAAGCTGAGTGGTTCCTAATCGGCCGCAGATTTACACACAGATCACTGAGACGCCGATTACGCGCCGTCTCCATGGCGACGCAAGCAGCCGGGGAACGTCTGGGGCAAGTGGGCCGGGCCGGTTCTGGTCTGCAGACCTCGGCTGGTTGCCTTGGTGACCCACCTGATCTCTGGGAGGAAGACGATCCACTCAAACATCCGACCTGCTGACAGGAAGTGGGTTGGTTCTGCTCATGTGGGTTCGGACCGGCTCCTCCTGCAGAACCACGCAATGAGCACGCGGCGGTAAGTGGGTCATGTGACCATCAGCGGGATTATTAGGACTAATGGAGGATTTCTGCTGCCATAATTCAGCTTCATAACTGCAGGAAGACGCGGCTGGATTAGACATCTGGACCGAACTGCTTCACTTCTGATCCTGATTAGGATGAGAACGATTATCATCTGGAGGAACATGGCAGGCTGCTGCAGCACCTACAGCCTGATGCTGCAGCATCAACATGGCTGCTGCTGCAGCAGGGTGATCACCTGACTCAGGTCTAGTGGAGCATCAGGATCAGAACTGGAACTCTGGTTTAACCTCAGCCAGCAGCCAGCTGCCTGGGCTCGGTGCTGCAGTACATCGGGGTCATGGTGGCGTGTCCTGCAGCCTCCACCAGCCGCTGCAGCAGCGCCCCTCCCTGATTGATGTTATTGGATTAGTTACATCGCCCTCAACATGATTGTGGCTCAGAAATGAAATTAAAATGTGTGTTGAATGGGATTTTCCAGGAAAGTCCTGTAAAAACCACGACGGTAATAAGGAATGACTAATTCTCCTAAAGTCGATTAAACACCATCTCATCCCAGGAAGACGTGCTTGGATTAGGCCACATTAGGACGAAGATTAAACTGTTTTCATCAGCTCTGTTATTATTCTGCAGCATGTTCCTGTCCAGAGATTAACTGCTCCAAAAACAAGCCATTAGACACAGATTACTGGAGAGCGGCCCCCAGGGGCCGCAGGGGGCTGTAGGGCGGTGGGCCCCCTGCAGCCCCCTGAAGCGCCCTGTGGCCCCCTGATGCCCCCCTCAGCCCCCTGTGGCCCCCTCAGCCCCCTGTGGCCCTCTGAGGCCCCCTGTGGCCCCCTGAGGCCCTTAGAGAGATGCCTGTTGACCAGCGGACACTGCAGCGTCTCAGCGTCTCTAAACAGCCGATCCATTTTCATCCAGCTTGTTTCAGACGAGGCCCGCAGCATGCCTGAACAGAACCGCTGCCTTCCATTATATAATGATGCAATATAATAATATTAATGGGATAATTTAATGCAATTTTCTTTATTTGATGCACCCTGACTCTGCGGCTAATCTGAAGGCTTTGTTTAAAAATGATTGAAAAATGAAAGGAGTCCGAGCGGCTAATCCTCCACCGAGGTCAGACAGACAGGAGGAGGAGGAGGAGGAGGAGGACCCTCTTCCTCCTCCTCTGAGCCTCAACAGCTCCTCAGAATCACAAGCTGCCGTTATTAAACGTCAAACAGAAGCACAAGATCAGAAACCTGGGACACTGTGCTGTGTGTGTGTGTGTGTGTGTGTGTGTGTGTGTGTGTGTGTAAGTCAGTCCATGAACTCTGACCCAGATCGCCCCTCCAAGGTGTTTTCCAGGAGCTGCAGCCGACGGGAGACTCGCAGCAGGAACCGATCCAGACCGACTTTCTGCTCTGACTGTTGATAGAACAGCTCATTCCTTGCAGCTAACCGCTAACAGCTAATCACTGATCACTGTTGATCAAAAAGCAGCTAACCAACCCATGAGGCCTTAGTCTTCATGCTGGTGGTCGCAGGTTCGATTCCCAGCCTGGTGACATCTGCCGCATGTCTTCCCCTCTCTCATTACCCTCTTTCCTGTCGAACTACTTTCAAATAAAGGCCACTAGAGCCAACAAAACCTTAAAAAAAAAGTAGCTAACCGCTAATGGCTGCCGATCAGTTACAGATTCTCCATATACCAGGTAGCCACCAAATCTTGTTAGCAGAAATCCATGTTCAACATCCTGAACCAACAGTATGAACAGACACACAGTCTGCCAGGAATCCATGGTGTTTCCAGCTGCATGGGCCCCATCTGGGACAGAATGGGTCCCATCGGGGGCAGAGGGCTCTGCTTTGACCAGTCTGATCAGGTTTTCTTCCCAGCGATCTGCAGCTGAACTCTGCAGACACTCAGCAGTAAAACCACGCCGCACTCCATGTGAGAGCTCGGCATTCTGGGAAATTATGAGCCTGTGGAAGCTGTGCATGAGGCAGGTTCACTGAGACAGGAACAGTGACGATTCATTTTGGTTCACCCCCAACAAAATGGCGGCCAACGCCAGACATGCAGGTTTTCTTCCAGCCTAATTTGTTCCTTTACTGAAGTTTCATTGACCTCATGATGTTACTGATCCTGAATCTGTTACCTGATCGGACCAGAAGCAGCAGGTCGGGTCAGGAGTGAAAACACAGAGCGGCTGAGACCAGGCCAGGGATCAGCAGAATGGCTTTCTGGGTAATTTTATGTATCTAAAAACGTTTTAATCAGGGGAAGTGGAGCTGCAGGCTGGTTCTGCTGTGGTGGGCCAGGTTCTTCCGGACCGGACCGGACCGGCTGGCTCCTGATGAAGAGATGAATCTGACAATCAGGAACATATTGTGTTTAAGTCCATCTGATGAATCTGACGGTTTAATCCGGGCCGTCAGAACCGCCCTGGATTACATATTGTCCATCTTCCCACCGCCCAGAATCTCATTTCGGAGCCGAATTGTTCAATCTGCTGCTCACATGTTGGAGAGCCGATCAGGTCCAATCAAACGCCACGAGGGATTAAAGTGGGCCGGTTCTGGTTCTGAGAGGCCACCGCTCCATTCCGGGGTTCCTCTTGGTCCCCCAGCAACAGTTTGGGTTATTATGGTCTGCATGGGAGGGCAACCACAATGTCATGGCGCTACCATGGTTACCAAAGGACGTTACCACTCGACCACTTTCTCCTACTGCTCTCCAGAGACGATGAAGATCAGTGAACACCTGGATGACCCCTTACCTGGATGACCCCTCACCTGGATGACCCCTCACCTGGATGACCCCTCACCTGGATGACCCCTCACCTGGCCCACAGTGGACCCTGAGGCCCCAGCAGAGTTCTGACCCGCAGTAATCTGGTTCTGGATCAGACGGAACCATCTGGTGTTCTGATCTTTTATTAAAGCGAGTCGATGAACGGCGGCTTAGGATCAACAGAGCGGCAGCAGCGAGGAGGAGGCCGCGCTCTGATTGGAGGATTAGAGCAGGAGCTTCCAGCAGCTGCAGATGTTCTGCTCGACCCGGATGAAAAGTTCTGGGATGAGCCCGGCCCAAATGGCCCACAGAACCGCCACTTCCTCCTGACAACCAACAGAGGTCCTGAAGAAGACAAGCCTCTGGTCTGGTTCTGTTCTGAAGTTCTACCGGGTCCTCCAGTAATGAGGTTTTCATAGAAAGCTGTTCTGCTCATCATGCTGGTACCGGTACTGGTTCTGGTCCTATAGACAGAATCCGGCCTCCAGCCGTTTTCCTTCTGACTGGGAGCCGTTATGCATCGCCACCTTAAATACACTGCAGCGCCACCTTAAATACACTGCAGCGCCACCTTAAATACACTGCAGCGCCACCTTAAATACACTGCAGCGCCACCTTAAATACGCTGCAGCGCCACC